TAAATGACTCTGGAACAATTGGATATCATTTGGAAAATTTAAGTTAGATCTTCATGGTACATCAGAATAAATTATGAAATTAGACTCCCACCTCATGGAAAAATTAATTATAAAATTAGAGCCCTAATAAAAAAAAATAATAAAGATGTCTTCTCCTGACATTATGTATCATGGCTTTATTCATAACATTATTTACACTTTATTGTAGATACTTAGTTGTCTGCCTAGAATGTAAGCTCCTTGAGATCATGGAGCTTTCATCATTGTTTCCATAGCAGCTGGTGTATAGCAGGCACTCAGGAAATCTGTTGGAAGAATGAATGAGTGAATGAACAAACAAACCTCCAGTAGGAAATTGGACAAAGCATATGAACAGTTAACCAAAGGAAAAAAGAAAAAAAGACCAGTAAACATGAAATTATGTTCAATCTATTACTTAGAGAAAAACATTAAGGAGCTAATAAGGTTTTTTTCATTAATCAAATTGGTTAAAAATTTAAAAATAATAATTATATCAACATTCATACAGTGTAAATTGGTCCAGCTTTTTTGGAAAGCAGTTTGGTAGTCTGTATTGGTTAAAATGTGTGTACCTCCTAGCACCATGATTGTGATCTCTAAATGTTATTTCTCATTAAGTGGAACCATAGTCCTTTGGAGGAATGGCTGATTCTAGACCTGGGACTTTTGGGGACAGAAAGCAAGAAAGCCATCAAAGCCTACCAAGTGTGTTAGAAAGATATAGGAGCAAACTTGGAGGAGCTCCCCCTGGCTAAAAATGGCACAATTTGAACATCTAAAGGAATAATCACGGTGATTGATTTAAACACATTAAATCTATAAATGGGTTCATGATAACATTTTAAAAATCAGTCACTTTGGTAGTTGCTAGGATACAACTCACCATTCTGAATTCTAGTAAAGAGAATCAAGCATTTATCCTGCTTTTCCTATATTAACTGTATTTCAGATAACCCAAGAGTTGATGAGGAAAATTTCTTCTTTATCAAAGAATTCCAGCCAGAAAATGCAATAGAAATGGTAGAATTAGAAGATTGTTATTTTTACAACTTCCCCCCATTCCCAAAGAAACTGTGGCCTTAGGCCAGTGCTGTCAAACTAATGGTGGTAAGAACAGGTGTTTTGTTTTGTTTGAAACTTCAAATTTATTGAGGAATACACTTATAAAATGCAGTGAGATGTTGCAACAATGTTAAATTGCTGTAAAAGTTTCTAAACTTTTTCATCTTTATATTTTTGTACTTATTATTAATTGGTAGCAAACCACTAGGGACTGACACCACCACACCTTGAGTAGCACTGGCCTAGCCAATAATCATGAGTGAATCACAAAACTATTAAGTGAAAGAAAGATAGAGAACAACCCCCACCCCCCAGCCTAAGAACTTAAATCTTTTTTTTTTTTTTTAAAGATTTTATTTATTAGAGAGAGACGCAGCGAGAGAGGGAACACAAGCAGGGGGAGCGGGAGAGGGAGAAGCAGGCTTCCCATGGAGCAGGGAGCCCGATGCGGGGCTCGATCCCAGGACCCTGGGATCATGACCTGAGCCAAAGGCAGACGCTTAATGACTGAGCCACCCAGGCGCCCCTAAGAACTTAAATCTAATCGAGCTTCTAGAACTGACTACTGATTTACCAAATAGAGGGACAGAAGGATGAGTTAAATGATACCACCACAAGGAAAGCATCAACCAAATACTGGAATGTGGGAAATGCTATAGGACAAATGACACAGTTTATTCAACTTCAACAAATAAATGTCATAAAATGAAGAGGGAGGGGACACTGCTAAAAGATTAGAGGCAAAAAGACATCTGAATCAAATACAATGTGTGGGACTTTCTGAATTCTGATTCAAACAAATTTAACAATCACCAAAATGTGAAGATAGGTCATTGAGATTGTATGTTTTTTAAAAAGTCTTGTTTGTTAGATATACATACTGAATTGTTTCAGGTAATGTCTAGGATTTGCTTTAAAATACTCCAGCATATTCTAGTGTGGGGCAAGAGGAGGAAGAATAGAAGTAAAACAGGCAACATGTTGATAATTGAAGTTTGGTAACAAGTGTCAAAGATAAATAAAACCAGACATTAAAGTGATGAAAACTGATTTTACTCAGTAACTACTGACAGTAGGGGAAAAAGCTGAGCTCCATTCCAACTTGTGCTGGGGTGGCTGGTGTTTTACAGGTGAATGAGGGAGTAGAGATAGAGGAAGAGGGGAACCCAAGTGAAAAATTACGAAGAGTTAGTGTGAATGCCTCTGAGGCCAGCTATGTGTGCTAGCTGGAAACCATCAAAGTTAGGATTTATCCTCCCACAGAGACTGGAAGACAAAGGCCCTATCCTTCCTGACGATTAACTTCCAAGAGAAGGGCCTTCAGGACCTGGAGAAAGGTACTCCTGAGTTGTAGGAATTAAATACACATCTTTGGGGAATGGAGGAAAGATTCACAATTGCAAGCCCTTTTTAGTAAATGCTCTAAGAAAGAAAGGTTGAGGGGCTTATCTTCAGGTGTTGGCTAGAAGAAACCTTAAACTCTTCTGATAGCCTTGAGCTTTCTCAGGCAGCACTTTATTGGGGGACTTGGGTCCTCCCAGAGACATGGCCTTATGCTGCTAGAAGCCTTACTAGAGAGTTTGGTTGTTTTAGTGCACAGGTTTGGATGGAGTCATCGTGTGCTGAGAGTTCTACAGTTCTTACAAGTACGTGGGGGTCCAATATAACAGTTTTTTTTTTTTTTTTTTTTAGTGAGAAAAATACACAGTTATGTATAAGTTTGCAAATTTTATTAATAAGAGGTTATTTTAAAATGTGTATTCTTGTAACCCACTAATTCGTCTTAAAGGAATGTATCCTAAGGTAATAATCAGGAAAAATAATCAGGAATTTGGTCAAGGATTTATGTATGAGGATGTTCATCAAAGTAGTAACCAATAGGAAAATTGGAAACAAATGTTTTCAACATTAAAAGATTTATAAATATAGTAGGACATTCCAAAACATCAAGAGCCATTGATTGATGAGGCTCTGCAAAAGCAAGCACTCTCATAAATTGCTGGAAGGGCTGACCCCATGGAGAACAGTTTGGCAATCTTAACAAAATTACTAATTCATTTATCCTGTGACCTAGTACTCCCACTTCTGGAAACGTATTCTGAAGTGATATCTCTACATGCTTGAAATTGTTATGCACCAGGTTATTCATCACATCATGATTTGTGATAGCAAAAGATTGGAAACAGTAGAAGACTAGTTAAATTGTGGAATTTATGCAGAGGAGTGCTATATAGCTGGAAAAGGGATGGAGAACCTCGTATCTGTGCATTCAGTATAGTAACCACTAGCTACATGTGACTACTTAAATTTGAATTATTTGAATTAAAATTAAGTTTGAATTGATCAAAATTAAATTTAAAATTCAGTTTTTTGGTCACATTAGCCACATTTAAAGTGTTCAATAGCCACATGTGGCTAGTGGGGCTACCAAATTGAACAGCACAGACATGGAACATTTCTATCAATGCAGAAAGTCTTATTGATAGTGCTGCTTTATATAGTGAGCATAAAAATATCTCCAAAATACCTATGTAACTTTTATAATAAATAACAGATACTTAAAGATAGATAGAAAATATTAGGTAAAACAACTTGGGTACTTTATGAAAGATTAAAACTTGAGTTCTATACACATGGAATCTTTTCACAGATTTTTTTTTCCCTTAAAATCAGTAATCTCTCCATTTTCTTGTATCAGCTGATCATTTTATATTTGTCAATATGATGCCAGGTGGAATACACATTCAGAAGAAATCCAGTTGGTATAATTATTGCAGGAGTCTTGATGAATTAGTTATTTTTTTTTTTTTAGCTAGCCTTTCCTGTTTTTTACAAGCAAGAATTTTGAACCAAGCATGCTTGAAGAAGTAACATTCCTCAAAGTGCATGCTCTAAATGGTAGGTGCTGTTTAGCACAGAATTATAGCTATAATCACAGCTTTCTGGGATATTCTGAAATTAGGTTATGGTATAATAGGAAGAATACTTGGTCTTTGTTCTGGTCCCTCATTTAGCTTCTAATACCTTTGGAATTTCCTGAAGAATGAGTGTCTTTGGCATGCTAATGAAATGACTTGGTGATGGGCTCCCAGTTAGCTTCAGAGTGGAGGCTGGTCACCAAAGATTAAACCTCCATTAGAAGCTTGAAACTTTCAGTCCTACCTCCCAGCCTCCAGTGAGGGGAGAAGGGCTAGAGATTCAGATAATCTCCCGTGGCAAATGATTTAATCAATGGGGCACACGTAGTGAAGTCTCCTTAAAAACCTCTAAGTGGACAGGATTCTGTAAGCTTCCTGGTTGGTAAAGGCTTTGAGGTGCTGGGAGGGTGGCACACATGGAGAGGATAGACCAACTCCATGCCCCTTCCCACTTCCCTTGCTCTATGTACGTCTTACATTTGGCTGCCCCTGAGCTGTATCTTTTATTATAAACTGGTAATAGTAATTAAAACATAGTAATATTACGGTAATAGTAATTAAAGTGAATCTTTCTAGCAAATTATCAAACCTGAGGAGGTCACGTGGAAACCCCTGGGTTGGTCAGTTTAGGTGGCCTGGAACTTGTGTTTGGCATCTGAAGTGGAGACAATCTTGTGGGACTGAGGCCTTCAACTTCAGGTAACTGATGCTGACTCCAGGTAGACAGTGTCAGAACTGAACTGAATTATTGGACACCCAGTTGAAGAGGTGGAGCTGGAAAAAAACACCATGTATTTGGTGTCCAGAGGAAAAAAAACCCTTAAGGTATAACTTTTATATGGTTACAGAACATGATAAGTAAAATGTTTATTTCAGAGTCTGGCTTGTTTTAGTGATGTCTAAAAAGATAATAGGAACTAACTCTTTAGTGTGCATTGTTTTTTAAAAATGGGGAATTGTATAAATTTGAGATATTAATTAATAATTAATTTTAAACAGATCTACAAAAAATAAGGAAATTCCTCCTTTGGAAAATAAAGTTGCATACATCAGAGAAAAGAAGTCATCTTTGAATCTATCTTACCGAAGTCATGACTGCTCTCGAACTTGTCTGATGAAAATACCACTTACCTTCAAGGGAGAAAACCCTCTGCAGCTACCAATCAAATGCCACTTCCAAAGACGACATGCAAAGACAAACTCTCATTCTTCAGCACTCCATGTGAGTTATAAAACCCCTTGTGGAAGGAGTCTACGAAATGTGGAAGAAGTTTTCCGTTACCTGCTTGAGACAGAGTGTAACTTTTTATTTACAGATAACTTTTCTTTCAATACCTATGTTCAGTTGACTCGGAATTACCCAAAACAAGAAGAAATTGTTTCTGATGTGGATATTAGCAATGGAGTGGAATCGGTACCCATTTCTTTCTGTAATGAAATTGACAATAGAAAGCTTCCACAGTTTAAGTACAGAAGGACTATGTGGCCACGAGCATATTATCTAAACAGCTTTACCAACATGTTTACTGATTCGTGTGACTGTTCTGAGGGCTGCATAGACATGTGAGTAGAAAAACATGGCATTTCAAAAAGTCTTCTGAATGTAGGGGTACTTGTCAGGAAGTCCTGCATTGTATCAGTTTGTCTGTCTCTCTAAACTCTGTTCACCAAGAATCGAAAATGGAAAGATACACTGTCTCACTAGCAATAGAAAAGAAAACTCTTTGCCAAATAGTATAGTAATTTGAAAGTTATTTCTTCCAAGGATGAGTTTCCTTTAATCTAGTACCATAATCATAATAGCAACAAGTCCAGCTAAAGGCATTTAACAGTGCCAGACACTGTAACAAGTGCTTTACATATACTTTTTTACTTAATCCTCACAAAACCCCATGAGGTAGGTAATATTACTTCTGTGTTACAAATGAGGAAGTTGAGAAGCCAATTTTAAGGTCGTAGGGCAAACAAATTGAAGAGTCAGTGTTTGAACCCATGCTCTTTACCATTGTGTTATATGTCTTGTTTTACTTTTACAAATATTTCCTTGCTACTTCTTTATAAAGTGAAAGGTGCTTATAATTCATAATCCCATAACATTGGCATTCCACTAAAAAAAACATGTTCTACTATAGTAAGAATTTGAAAATTTTATTTTAAGGGTATGTAAGATACATGTAGGATGTAGGCATATATAGAGTGGAGTTGCATTATATACATATAATTTAATGCAAATTTAGCTACCTGTACTGGGCAAAAGAAAAAGGAGAGAAAGAATTTAAATAGTATAGGCAGTAGTTTCACCATCTCAGTTAGTGGAAGTGTGAGAGGACATATATAAATCTGCTGTTACCTCAGTTTGGCTCATTCCTTTAGGCCTGTCATAGAGGAAATCTCTCACAGTGTCAGGTTTTATTCTGTTTTAAAATAAGGGTTTTGTTTTTTGTTTTTTGTTTTTGTTAACATTGCATCTAAACATAATTGACATGTGGCCAAGCCCAGTCTCTCACTGCTGGAGAAAAAAACTGTTGGACAATGTTTACTTAATGGTCAGTTTATAAGATCTTTTTTTTTAAAGAATCTTGACTATATATGATTTTTTTAAAAGATTTATTTGAGAGGGAGAGAAAGAGAGGGAGAGCAGGGAGAGGGGCAGAGGGAAAGGGAGAGAGAGAATCTCAAGCAGGCTCTAAACCCTGCGTGGAGCCCAATGCAGGGCTCAAGCCAAAATCGAGAGTCAGACCTTAACCCACCCAGGCACCCCAACTGTATATGATTTTTGCTTTAACACTGTAGACACTAACCTTTATATAACATGTACCACCAGTATACATATTTTCATCTATAGGTCAGAAATTATAAGAGAAATCACAAAAGCAAAGGCTGAAACCTGCTGGGATCTGGAAATGGACACAAGCACTGTGGCTAGGGATTTTAACTCTTATAGGAATGGGAATTAAACATATCCCATGTATGGCAGAGAGTGGGCACTGAATTCTCCAGGGGATAGAAACAGGGACCTCTACAGGGGCTGGGAAATAGGTTAATTATCTCACATAGCCTGGAATGGGATTAAAAACAACTGGTTTTAGAGCAGTGAAACCCATAGTCACAGCCAGAGCAATGAGGAAAGAAGTCAACATAAAGGAGCACCCAGGAGTAAACCCCACAGAAAGGTAGGATTTCAGTCAAAGCACACAGAGATGTTTAGGACCATGAAGGCAGCATGAATCCCAACAAATGGGAGAATTCACACCTGAAGAATTAGAGATAAATACAGAATCTGATTAAAAGAGACTATTTTTTTAAAAAGATTTTATTTATTTGAGAGAGAGAAAGCAAAAGATGAGGGAGAGGGACAAGCAGACTCTGCACTAAGTGGGGCTTGATATCACGACCCTGAAATCATGACCCAAGCTGAATTCAAGAGTCAGTTGCTCAACCAACTGAGCCACCTAGGTGCCCTGAAAAGAGACTTTAAAATATATATGTTTAAAATGTTCAGAGAGATTAAAATAGTAACATCCATGAAATAAGAAAAGGATATTGGGGGGGGGGTAAAGGTGTATATATGAAAAAAACAATTTGGAAATGTGGGAAATAAAACATGGTCATAGAAATAAAAAAACTAAATAGATGGACTCAGTGGTAGAACTTGTACAACTGGAGAAAGCATTAGTGAATTGCAAGGCAAAATGAAAGAGATCTTCCAGAATAAAAAGAGATAAAGACTTGAGGAAGATAATTTACAGATAGATTAAAAACTGTGGAGGATATAATAAACTCCTTCTGAGAGAAGAAAAGAACAACATTCAAAGAGCTAATAGCTGAAAATTTAAAAAGTATCTACGGTAAAGAATATATCTCAAACACTATCAGAAAAAAATTGATTAACAACACAGTTCTCATCAGAAATAAAGAAGACAAAAACAGAGGCATATTAGCTTAAAATGACAAAGGAAAATAAATGTAAAACTAGAATTCCGTACCAAGCCAGACCAGTCATTTGACAGGGGGATGTTCAAACAATTACATAGTAAATGAGGACATGCATACATACTTTCCAGCAGTAGTACTTATAAGTATATCTAGAGCATTGTTTTCCAAGCTACAGATTTAGTGGGATATAAAATCATTAAAGTGGTTGTAACTAGCATTTTTTAAATTAAATAGTAGAGAAGATACCCAAGGGGCACCTGGCTGGCTCAGTCAGTAGATCGTGCTACTCTTGATTTTAGGGTTAAGTTTGAGCCCGATTCTGGGTGTAGAAATTACTTAAAAATAAAATCATGGGGTGCCTGTGTGGCTCAGTTGGTTAAGCATCTGCCTTCAGCTTAGGTCATGATCCCAGCGTCCTGGGATCGAGCCCCGAGTCCCGCTCCCTGCTCAATGGACAGCCTGCTTCTCCCTCTCCCTCTGCTGCTTCCCCTGCTTCTGCTTGCTCTCTCTCTCTGTCAAATAAATAAAATCTTAAAAAAAAAAAAAGTCTTTAGGGGCACCTGGGTGTCTCAGTCAGTTAAGCATCTGACTCTTTGTTTCGGCCTCAGGTCTTGATCTTGGGGTTGCGGGATCGAGCCCCACTTTGGGCTCCATGCTTGGCACTGGGTTTGCTTGAGATTCCCTCTCCCGCTCATGCTCTCTCTCTCTCTCTCAAATAAATAAATCTTTAAAAAATAAATAAGTAAAAACAATAAAATCTTTAAAAAAAGGAACTACCCAAGTGTATCATACATAAGGCTAAAATTTCATGCCACTGTTTCAGTTTATACACCTATGTAGAGAAATATATTTGTATGCCTATATAGGATCATGAAGAAAATGTATTTCTTACTGTGGGTCATAAATATCTGAGAGACCCTACTCTAGAGATGCTTACATATATGCATAAGAATAAGCTGTTCATTGCAGTATTGTTTGTAATATTTGAAAACTAGAAGCAACTTAACTATATACCAAGCAACTTCATTAAGCAACTTAATTGCTTATCTAAATGCTATCAAAAAGTTAAAAGGAATTAACTAAATTTGTATATAGCACAGATGAGTCTCAAAAACATTATTTCAAATGAAAAAGACAAATTGTAGTGAATTTTTAAAAACAATACAATATATTGTTTATAGGTGCATACACATGTAAAAGTGTAAAAGATGCAGCACCAAACCTCTTGAAAGTTTAATCTGTAATGTTTTATTTTTAGAAATGATATCTACAGCATATGTATAGTGTTTCTCTCCACATCCTCACCAACACTTGTTATTTCTTTGGGGTACTAGACATTCTGATAGGTGTGAGGTGATATCTCATTGTGGTTTTGATTTGCATTTACCTGATGATGAGTGATGTTGAGCATCTTTTTCATGTGTTTGTTGGCCATCTGGCTATCTTTGGGAAAATGTCTGTTCATGTCTTCTGCCCATTTCTTAATTGGATTATTTGTTTTTCAGGTGTTGAGTTGTATAAGTTTTTTATATATTTTGGATAGTAACCCTTTATTGGATATGTCATTTGCAAATATCTTTCTTCTCGCATTTAGTAGGCTGTCTTTTAGTTTTGTTGATGGTTTCCTTTGCTGTACAGAAGCTTTTTATTTTGATGTAGTCCCAGAAGTTTATTTTTGCTTTTATTTCCCTTGCCTCTGGAGACATATCTAGAAAAATGTTGCTTCAGCCAATGTCAGACAAATTGCTGCCTGTGCTCTCTTTTAGGAGTTTTTTTGGTTTCGGGTCTCACATTTAGGTCCTTAATCCATTTTAAGTTTATTTTTTATGTATGGTGTGAGAAAGTGGTCCAGTTTCATTCTTTTGCATGTAGCTGTCATGTTTTCCCAGCACCATTGCATAGTCTTGCCTCTTTTTTTCAAAGGTTAGTTGACCATATAATCATGGGTTTGTTTCTGGGCTTTCTATCCTGTTCTATGTGTCTGTTTGTAGTATAACTTGAAATCTGGAATTGTGATCTTTTTCAAGATTGTTTTGGCTATTTGGGGTTTTTTTGTGGTTCCACACAAATTTTAGGATTATTTCTTCTAGCCCTGTGAAGAATGCTGTTGGTATTTTAATATGGATTGCATTAAATCTGTAGATTGCTTTAGGTAATATAGACATTTTAACAATATTTGTTCTTCCAAGCCATGAGCATGGAATATCTTTCCATTTGTTTGTGTCTTCTTCAATTTCTTTCATCGATAGTTTTCAGGGTACAGGTCTTTCATCTTGGTTTAGTTTGTTCCTAGGTATTTTACTATTTTGGTACAATTGTAAATGAGATTACTTTCTCAGTTTCTCTTTCTATTGCTTCATGTAGAAAAATGCAACGGATTTCTCTACGTTGATTTTGTATCCTGTAACCTTACTAAATTCATTTATCAGTTCTAGTAGTTTTTTGGTGGAGTCTTTAGGATTTTCTGTATATAGTATCATGTCATCTGCAAATAGTGACAGTTTTACTTCTTTCTTACCAATTTGGATGCCTCTTATTTCTTTTTCTTATCTGATTGCTGTGGGTAGGACTTCCAGTATCATGTTGAATAAAAGTGGTGAGAATGGACATTCTTGTCTTATCCCTGA